CATAAACCTCACCAAAAGAAGACATTTAGGCAGTCAACAAACATATGAAAAAATTAGCTATAGCAGCAAAGTTCAACAAACCAGAAAACAACAAATGCTGGCAAGGGTAAGGAGCGCCTGGAACTCTTGTAAACTGCTGGTGATAATGTAAAATGGTGTAGCCACTGTGAAAAATAAATACATGATCCAGCAATCCCACTACTTGGAATATTATCCTAGAGAAATAAGAACCATGACATGAATAGAAACATATATGCAAACACATGGAAGCAATCCAAATGCCCATCAATGGAAGAATGGGTCAACAAAGTATGGTACAAATACACAATAGAATACTATACTAAATTTAAGATTAATCATCAATCTGTGAAACACCTCATAACAAGGATGAACTAGAGGGCATTATGCTGGTCTAACAAGTAAATTGCAAAAGAAAAAATCTTTCACAAAACCACTATTATAATAAATCAAGGTTTTCACATTTAAAATATTTTCTGATGGTTAAAAGGGGTGGTAAGGGAGGGAGGGTAAATTAATAACGTATGAACTCGGGTGAAAGGGAAGGTAATATACAGTAAGAGGGAGGTCAGCAAAAAATGACAGAGGCAGGAGAAAATACTGGGCAGAGTACAAGAATTAAAGGCAACAGAGGTAAACACTGTCAAATATATAATCCTGCAATAACAGTGATCTACCAGGAGATGTGGGAATGTGCTGACTCTGTAAGATAAGCACCGGCTTGTGAACTACAAGGTTTGTGGTCCCAGTCGACCAGTAGTTCTGCAGGAGAAAGACGAGGTTTTCTGCTACAGTAAAAATTTACAGAATCACTGTGAGTCGGAACCAACTAGACGACACTTAACAAGTGGATGCATGGATAGACATACAGGCTGCATGCAATCTCCATGAAGGTGGTGGATCATAGTGAGGGCAGTTATGAAACCTTCTTAGCCATAACCAAATGCCTGACCACAAGTCTCATGGGATATCAAGGTCTACTGGCATAACCTAGTCCACAACGACATGTTCTGTGTCCCACTTTGGTTTAAGTGGTAACGGGTTGTAAAAGCTCACAAGCATTCATGTAAGGTGCAAATTATTGGTTTCTACCCCCTCTGGAATAAAGAAGAATGAAGAAATTAGAAGATACATGGAAACAATTGGTCCGATGACCTAACTTGACCACAGAAACATCAGTCTTCATGACCCTGATACCAGAAGAATTAGCTTATGCGTAGCTTCCACTATCATCAAAATCATGAAGACCAGGCGTACTGTTAAGTAGAGACTGGTAGAATCCTGAGATTATGACGCTTAGTCACCTTGCTGGTGTGGAAAAGAACTATCCCCCCAATACTCAATTTTCAGCCAAACGACAGAAAGGTCTGTATGTACACCTTACAACAGGGGTGGGGAACATCCAGCCTTTATATGGCTCATGAAATCATTGGGTCTGACTGCCAAGGCAACTGCAATACTAGCCATCACTTTAGGGATGAGTTAATTAAATAAATGTTGGACCAAATATAGCAGGCTAATTTTAAAATTAATAATTTTGTATGGCTTGCAAATGATGCTAGGGTACTTGACAGAAAAAAGGTTCCCCACGCCTGCCTTAAAATAATCAACCATTTGATTATTTTTTGAAAAAAGGCATCATTTCCCCAAGGACAAAAGTTCAGAAGGGTTAGGAAAGGAGGAGGAAGAATGGAAACAGGAATCATAGGAAGTGGGATAAGTGATGTTACATTGACATGAAACACAAGATATATGAAATGTTGAAGGAAAAATACATTTGCTATATAAACCTTCAGGCAATTCATAATACACAATAAAAAGTTAAAATAATTTTTTATGACTGGAATAATTCCTTAACACACTTTCTTCTTCCTAAGAGTACTTCATGTTCAGATGAGGTTTCTTAAGAAACAGACAAGACTACGCCCTCACATCAACCACCACTCGAAGCCCTGACAGCTACTGTTCTGGTGAATGTCCTTCTAACCCTTGTTTCCCTGCCAATGCAACATCGTACATAAACAGAAAACATCATATTGTTCCAGAGGCCTTCAGAGTGTTGGTGGGAAAATTCCAGGCTCCTTTAATTCCATTTTTCTATGACCTTTTTGAACCCCTCGTATATACTAACTGGTTTCTTCTTTAGGCCACATAATGTTAATGTATTTCCATATCAACAAATGGTTTTCTGTAACACAACTTTCAATAGTTACAAAGTACGCCATCATGTGATGTCTACAGTCTTGATAAATAAGGAGCCCTGGTGATGCTGTGGGTTAGGCACTGGGCTGCTAGCCATTGGTTGGCAGTTCAAACCCAGCTTTTCTGTGGGTGAAAGATAAGGCAGACCGGTCCTGTAAAAATTGAGTTTCAGAAATCCTGTATAGTGGGGTTATGAGTCCAAACTGACTTGATGGCTGTGGGTTGTTGTTGTTAGGTGCCATCGAGTCAGTACTGACTCATAGCGACTCAATGCCCAACAAAACGAAACACTGCCTGGTACTGGGCCAACCTCACAATTGGTGCCATGCTTGAGCCAATTGATGCTGTCACTCTTGTCAATCTATCCTCTTTTTCTCTGACCAGCCACTTTACCAAAAATGATATTCTTCTCTAGGGACTGGTCCTGCCTCACAATATGTCTGAAGTATGAGAGACGAAGTTTGGTCATCCTGGCCTTCAAGGAGCACTCTGCACTTCTTCCAACACAGATCTGTTGGTTCTTTTGGTAGCCCATGGTCTTTCATGATACGCGGATGCCAGTGTATATAAAACAGTCACCCTTGTGAAACAGAAATTCATGATGTTAAGGACTGACAAAAGTAGACATTTGTATAGTATGGCACATGTGTTTAGGGATATGTTTTTGTACAGGCTTCAAATTTAGCTCTCCTTTGAATATTCACTGGTTCATGAAGAATAGTTTAAGAAACCTGTGAAAGATTCATTTGACTACAAAAATGAACAGACTTTCTGGGATCTAAAGGGATTTGTACTTGATGATATACCAGTCAGCAACAGGTCATGTTGAGCATTCTGCAGACAGAATTGTTTCAAATCTGTAGCTACCTGGGAGCCCTTCACGTGGTTGAGCCTGGCCTCCAACCAGAGCTGCTACACCACTTTTTCAAAGCGGTGACACTAGAGGAGCCAGACATAGCGATCAAGTAGGTGGGCGATTCTCGTTCCCAGATTGGTAGCTCGGCGACTTACGTTACCTCTTGAGAGGCTGAACATCAGTCATTTTCTTTTGGTACAGTGACTCTGTGTGTTCCGTCCATCTTCTTTTGATGCTTTCTGTATCAGTCAATAATTTGCTTTTGTAGGCCCCCCCCATTTTGGGTAGCCAGTGTCCAAGTTGCCCATCCCTGTCTACTCTATGTATGGAGGGGGTGGGAATGATCCTCACTGTAAAGATTTGTTCCCTCTTTTGAGCTACTGTATCCTTAGGTGTAGGTCAACTTCATCAAACTGTATCAGATTACTCTTTTTTTTTTGTCTTCTTTCTTCTTCTAGTCAAGTTTTAATCATCCGGCCATTGAAGCCAGGTCAAGTGGGTATTATCTGCTAGTGTGGGTGTTCTTGTGCATATGCCCTCCCTTCTTATCAGCTGGACACTTCACTCGTCACTCTAGTCCTCTGTGGCTATGTCACTGACTCTGGGCCCAAGAGTCCCCAGGTCTTGCCACATTGCTGGCCAACCAGGTCTCCACCCGGGTTCACAGGAGTCTATTTAATGTTGTAGGGCTTAGCTCGCAGCTTCATTGCTATTTTTCCCTCACTTCCCCTAATTGGTGACGAACGTGGTCACCAATCAGAGCATTTATTCCCATTGAGTCTTAGTCTTGGAAGGGGAAGATAGTCTTTTAGCCTAAAAAATAAGCAGGTATTCTTCCTGTTGGGCTAAATGCTTTCATTTACTTAAAAAAATTAAAGCAGATGTACTATTATTAATTTGTGTTGCCTGCTCTGGTGCTGTAGGGTAAGCACTTGACTACTAACTGCAAGGCGCTCTCAGAAACCCAATATAGGGTTGCTATGAGTCGGAATCAACTTGATGGTACTTAACAACAACTAATTAAGGGTTGGTTCAGAGGAACAAAGGTCCACTTCTCAGTCCTAACAAGTGATAAATCAGATGTTGTTCTTGTCCTTCTTTAGCAACAATGGAAACAAATGATTTTAGGGAAGAGTAAGGACTCCTGGTGTGGTGCTGAAGGATCAGCACTGGACTACTAACCACAAGGTCGCTCATTCAAACCCACCAGCCACTTCTTGGAAACTCCATACAGGATTGCTACGAGTCAGAGTGGACTGGAGAGCACTTCTTAACAACAAACATATAGAGTTAGAGAGGATGTAAAACACTCTATTTTTCACTTAGGATGCCATACAAAACAGTTTGAAAGTCCTAAGGGGAGGAATAATCACTGGGTAGCATACAAATACTCATCTAAAGGTTGGATGTTTGAACCCATCCCTCAGCCTCGGAAACTACACGGTCGCTATGAGTCAGAATCAACTTGACGGCACTTACCACCACCACTACATACATACATACATACACACACATACATATATATATGTATGTATGTATATATAAACCATGGGAGTATCTTACCAGTTTATTGAACACACACCTATGATATGAGGACTTATAAATTCAATTCAACATTCACTGATGACCTACTATATGCCAAGCAGTGTGTCATGCTCTGGCACAGGGAGACATACTATTCAACCTGACCTAAAGGACAGCCATGAAGTCTTGGTGCGGCATTGTATGATAAGCAGTAGACTGGTAACCACAAGGTCAGAAGTTCAGACCCACTAGCCACTCCTTGGAAACCCTACACAGGATCACTATGAGTCAGAACTTACTCAACAACACTTAACAACAACAAAGGGCTGCCTCTGCTTTTTGCAACACGACTTTTCAAAACAAGGAAGGAGGGAGGAAGGAATGTGGTAGGCCACCTCACCTCAGCTCTCACTATTCTGTCCACAATGGTCTCCAGTGTTTCCAGCTTATTGCACTTCACAACCCCTTCAAAATACTGTGACCGGTGCTGCAGGGCCTGCGTCACTGTGATATCGAGGTTATTGTAGGTTTTCTCAGCAGCAAGATTCTGTAATAAAGTCACAATGAGGTCCATCTTTCCATCTCAATTCATGCTAGTGACCAAAGTTAGTAAGCTTAAGGCACTTAATGTTTACCTTTATTACCACTCTAAGTTCTCTTTTAAGTTCACAGTATGCCCCTAACACTGTTATTTCACAGTCTTATCATATTAATGAAAGTCTATATTATATGAAGAGGCTTCAAAAAGTTTGTGTAAAAATTCCATTAACTTTTTAATTCATTTTTCCACTACCCCTACACCCCAGGAAGCAAAGCTTTCAGTGGGAATGTGTTAGGGACCCATCCAATATTATGTAATCAGGCCTGAGGAGTCCCATTAAATAAAAATTCCAGTAAATGTATGAGTGTTTTATTATGTTAATTATAATACAATGAACCAAAATAATTTATGACAACTACAAATGAGTATTTAATTTTGAGGTCGATATTGTGACAGAAAATGGTGTAACTGAGGTTATCAAAATACCAGAATCCTTTCTAAGAAACAGTATTAAACTCTATTTTAAGGAAGTTAATTTAAAATGTAAAACAAACCAAATGGAAAAATGTAGCACCAACCATAAATCTAGTCGATTTAGAGCAAGACTCAAAGATTTTTACATAACTGTATCTGCTAACTGTTGCTACCTTCTATAAAGCTGTAGTCCAATCAGTGAACAGCAGAATGTGTGCTGTAAAAAGATTTTGGGGTTTTTGCAAGCACCCACTAAACATATTGCCTAGGGCTGGATAAATATTGCTGTACTCAGAGAAACACAGCCATTCAAAATATACACAAATGTTGCAATGATGGATAAAATCTACACTGAGAAGGCAGAGGCATAAATAAAATGCTACCAGTGTATGAGAGGGCTACAAAAAGTTCCTGGAAATTTTCATTATCATTTTTTAAAAAAAATTCCATTATCTTCCTATTCCACTTTCCACAAACTTTTTGAATCCCCCTTGTATTGACAAATCAATGAATTATTTAAAATGCAATTACTATGGGGAGTTTATGGAATTCTGTTAAGATTTGCATATTCAAATAAGTTAGAAATGATTAAATTAGAGGAAAAAACCCCCACAAAATTAATAAGCATGTTTCAAATTGTATTCTGAATAATAGGTTTGAAAATACTTACAATAACATCAAATTTGGAATAAATATCTACAACTTTTCCTAAAAAATGAAAATACACATTAGAAAAAAATCTTAGAAATAAAATACAATTCATTTAATATCAGTTTTAACTAGATAATGAACAGGAAATAAACCACTCCCCTACTGCCCCCCTGACCCCCCCAAACCCCTTATCCAGTGAATTCTGATTCATAGCAGACCTACAGGACAGAGAAGAATTGCCTCAGAGGGTCTAAGGCTGTGTCTTTATGGACTCAAACTGCCACATCTTTCTATCACAGAGCAACCAGTGGATTAGAACAACTGAGCTTCCAGTTAACAGCTAAGCATTTACCCATTGGGCCACCAGGGCTTCTTATAACAAGAAATAAAGCATTAACAAATAAAATTACTTTTCTATTTTTAAATGGACATGAAATCATGTCTTACTGAAAATAAACTCGTTTAAAATTGCTCTTATCCTGTATCTTGGAGCTAAATGTACCCACCAGAACTAAATTTCATTTCCCCCACTAATCTGATATATATATCATTTAAAAAGAATATTACATGGAATCCCCAAATAACTCAGACAAGTAACTGTTTCTATTTAACTGGTATGGCCAAACACACAAACCTGACTCATCCACAACAGGCAAAGCTGATATTCGTCTTTCTACAAATATGTTCAAGGCTTTAATGATAGGAGTGTCAGGATGTATAAAGGCAATGTTGTGGTATGTTCCTATTCCAAGCTCATCCAGGTTCTGCTTCATGAAGGCAGGCTTTGGCATATCGGACATCTAAACAGAAAGACAAATACACATGTTCTAGAACCCAAATCTATGTTTTCAATGTTCCGATTTGAGTGAAAAACTATGCATATATATACTAATTAAAATTAGTCTTCTCTAACAATCTATCTGAATGCCTGAATTAATATGGAAGAAAAAAAAAAAAGACCTAGTAAAATTGTATCTTTTCTTTAAACCAGTTTGTATACCTCTACTTGATATTTAACTATATCATAAAATACTGAACTAATATGTTAACATTTTAAAACTAGTATGTTGACAATTTTCTCTTTATCTACTAAAAAGTGGGCAGAAGAGAACAACAGGTCTAGATGGGAAATTCAGACCTAGAAACAACCAAGAATCTTTTCTTTTTAATTACTCACACTACAGTCTGGGCCTGCTGTCAGCTTTAAGTAAGACCCCCCTATTACTCAGTGTGTACCAGCGGCTGTGCTGAACTAAACTTCACGCATTCCACCTCAACCTCCATTAACAAGTCTCCTAGAAACAAACAAGAAGCCAGCTGAACACAATTAGAAGAACCTTTAAAAATTAACTTTTCTTTTCATGGGCTGTTTTAAAGGAGGAGGGAGAAGTCAGAAGAGAAAAGTTTTGGATCACATTTGACTATAGCAAAGTAATCTCTACCAGTTTCAAAAATCCACCTTTTATAAAGGGTACAGCTGATTCCATCCTCCTGGTGTACCTTATAATTATCAGGAAAAGATGAACAATTAGAAGAAACAAAATGTTCAAGTCAAAGAGTTCATCAATATTCAAAGCATGAGAATCCTAGAAATTTAGAGAAAAAAAAGAAAGAAAGACCTATTAGGTCATCTAGTCCATCTTCATAGCGGACAGTTCCCTGCCTTGCTCTTTACTCTATGTTTTGGTTAGTCTTCAAATGTCTTGAAGGCTAATGCTACCTTTCCTCAGAAACGATCTTAGAATTCAGCAAAAAACAAGTTCTGAAATCTTTATTAAATCTATTAAAATTCTATATTTTTATCTGAAAATCTCTGGATGAATTCTCTAGCCTATTAGATCACTGGACTATTCTAATTACCATATTGGCCCAAATCTAAGGCAGTGCTGGGCGGAGGCAACCTCTCTTATTTGTGCTGTTGTTGCTGTTGCAATGTGCTGTTGAGTCTGTTCCAACTCACAGTGACCCAGTGGAGGGTTTCTGAGAAGTAGCTGGTGGGATTGAATTGCCAACCTTATGGTTTGAAATCCAGTGCTGATCTTACAGCACCACACCAGGAGTTCTCTTATTTTAATACAAGAGAAAGATGTAAAGTAGGCATGCTACAGGATTATCGCAAACATCTCTCTTCTTTTATGGTCAATAGTAACATAGGAGTAAGAACCGTGTGGGCTTCGGAGTTTAACCTCCAGGCTTTAAAGTTGACCACAGAGCAGCTGTGTGAATTGAGGCCTCATTCTTCACCTTTCAGGTCAAGTGTTGCTTGTGCACAAAGGAAGTGAAGATGCCTTCATCACTGCTGCTACCTATGAAATGATACTAATAAAAACCCCTACCAGGTAAGGTGGCAGTGAGGACTGGCATGTCATGTAAAGTGCTTTGGCCACTGCTTGACATACATAGTAAATAAATGCTTATCAGCAGAGAGCTCTCATGATTAATACTATTTTAGAATTATTGCATGGAGAATTGAATAAGCTAAAGGCCTGGAGGTGGTGAACCCTCAATACATGGTGCTCCCCAGCTCCCATTCCCATTAAACCCTAATGGCTGGAGCCGCTGCACTTACACACAGCACACACCACAGACTTGGAGCATGCTGGCCCAGGATGGGAGAGGACAGGTCAGAGACCTCCCTCAAGTGTTTCCCCTAAGTGAAGCTTCATTAAACTCCATACTTTTTGTAAATCATTGTCCTCCTTTCCAGTTTCTTTCTTAGCATTGATTTGAATATGAAAAGGACAATTAACACACTTAAATGATTAAGTTACAGGTGTGGTTTACCAACAGGCATTTCTCACAGGCACCAGGCTGCTGAGGGCTACAAGGTAGAAGTAGCCTATTGAGCAGAGCAGCATGTGACCCATGAGAGCAGAGGGGCTTTCTCATCAAAGTGTCCTTTCATAACACTTTCAAATACTACAGGCCTAAGGCTGTGAAAAGGAAATGGAAAAAATCTGAGGTAGATTTTTAAGACTTAGTCAATTCTTTTAAAATGACTGTTCAAATGATCTCTTGGAGCCATTCATTCATGAGGTCTCCTATTGGTTCTATGTGATCAATTATTTACAACCTCAAATTTAGTGTATGTATATTAAAAGGAAAAATAAAAGCTCTCCTGTGAAATTCCTTCATTCTCAGCCCCTTTTAAAACTGCTAACCCAAGAGGCTGCAAGTGTTGCTTGATTATGAAACCATTTAATTTCAAAAGCAGTTTAGAAAACCTATAGATAATATAGCCCTGATATGGACCAACATGGTACTCTCTTGCCAAAATCTTTGCAAAAATAAGAAACTAAGATAATCTTGGGGACAGTATTTTTGAACATGCTTTTCAAAACCATGCTATCAATACAGCATTATATAGCATTTCTGGCTGTATAAATGGGTTCAATTTATCTTGTATGTTGTTGTTGTTATTATGTGCCGTGGAGTCAGTTCTGACTCATAGCAACCCTGTACAGGTTTCCGAGGCTGTAAATCTTTACAGGAGCACAAAGCCTCATCTTTCTCCCGTGGAACAGCTGGTAGATTTGAACTGCTTACCGTGAAATAAGCAGCCCGATTTGTAACCACTACATTACCAGAGCTCCATTTTAGGTGATAACATACTCTAATTGAAATAGAGAATTTCAAATGTTTTAAAATTTTTGATACTTTGACTAAAAGATAATTGCTTTTTAAATTTGAGAATGTACAATTCAAGCAGTAAGTGGAGATACTGAAGTTTAGAAATGGAGACCTCAAAGTTGACAATTTCACCTACTGAGGGTAACAAGAGCCAATTTACTTGAGGTTAATGAATTAAAGCAAATGCAACTATGTCTTTAGAAACACTAAGAACTACTTACAAAAAGCTGGAGAAACTTGAGGATTCTTTTGTGGGTAAGTATATAAAGTGCATTCCCACTGATAGGGTCAATAACTGGCAATCTGTGGATTTTATTTTTGATCAAGGAGTATACAGCATCGAAGAGGCTGTGGGAAAAGCCATTAGAGTTGTTAGGAGGCTTTAAAGGAAACCCAGAAAACATTTGGACCACCCCTGCTCTGAAAACATTTTCAGTGTCTTCCTGTTACAGTAACAAAAGGTTGATCAACTTTTTTGCAAGATTTTTAAATTGGAGATTTCAGCAATTTTTAATTTTCTTTTTTAACAATCTATGTTACATCAAATTTAAGTGTGAGCTACAAATATCTAGAGGAGCATGATTTTACTTGAAAGATGGCAGAAGCTGCATCCCGAGGACAGCTAACAGAGAAAGTCTGCAGTACAGTCTTGGGGGAGGGGGAGCAGGGGAGAACGGAGGGCAGGAGATCCCACAGGGACTCTGTAAGAACCCCCCACTCGTGCCTTCTATTCTGTTCTGGGCTGATTATGTGCTGCCGGTAAGGCGGCTCAGGGTTTATCTTCTTGTTAGGATTTGGAAATAAACCTAGAAACAGTTTAATTTTTCTGTAGATTTCAGAAAATGCTTTTATACAAATGTGGGAATATGTTCAGAGCCATTCCAGATGGTTTGGATCAAAAAGGACGAGCTAGAAGGCTACAGAGAAGGTAGCTCATTCTTGTGCATGCCTCTGAAGCAATGTCTAATATATTTTGATTGAAAAAACAATCACTTTTATGGTAAAAAAAAATATATATATAAGATAAAATTAGTCATTTCAACCATTTTAAGTGTTTAATTACATTTACAATGTTGGGAACTCATCATCACTGTCAGTTTCTAAAATGCTTCCATCACCCCAAACAGAAACTCTGCTCACATTAAGCAGTAACTTCCTGCCCAGCCCCTGGTCACCTCTCATCTACTTTCTGCCTCCATGAATCTGTCTGTACTGTATAGTCCATATGAATGGAATGACACATTATTTACCCTTTATATCTAACTTATTTCATACTCCCCATCCATACTGTAGCATGCATCAAGATTTCATTCTCCTGCTGGCAGAGTAGTGTTCAGTGTATGCATGAACCACATTTTGTTTATCCATTTATCTGCTGGTGGGCACCTGTAGTTCCTACCTTCTAACAGTGCTGCCATGAACACTGCTTTTTAAACCTCACTATGTATCAGACGCACTGGGGGAGTTGTTTAAAAGCATATTCTTCCTGGACATTATCTCCCATAGACTGGTTTAACAGGTTGGGAATCAAGGCCAGGAATCAGCACTTTTAACAAGCTCCTGAGACAGCTTCTGCTACAGGCAATCCGGAGTCCCCAGATGGCTTATTTTGAGGCTTTTCTAGCCCACTAGCATTGATTTGGGCCAATAATTGCTACTATTTTCTAATGCCTCTAAATTTATTCAATTTAGTAGTTGGAATTATGGGAGGTAGTCATTACTTGCATTGAAAAATGTGCTCTGTCTATTATGGTAACAAAAGAGATAAATCTGAATGAATGACTAAATGCTTTCAAAGGAGAAAAAGTATACGTTTACCTTGCATCTGGAGATATATTCACTAAAGGCTTAAATGTTTCTTGTAAATAAAGCTCTGCAGTTATAGAAAGAAAATATGCAGTTAGTAACATATCTGTTGTTTGTAATTACTAAATAAAATATCCTTCAACTCACAGTTAATTGTGGTGGTGGTGGTGTGCTGTTGATTCAGTTCCGACTCACAGTGACCCTGTATAGGGTTTCCCAGAGTGCTCTGTGCATTTGAACTGTCAACCGTGCGGTTACCAGTCCAGTGCTTATCCTACAATGCCACACCAGGGCTCAATTACTAAATAAAATACCCTTCAACTAATAGTAATTAGAATGACAAAAATCAAAGCAAAGAAATTTAATTTACCCCAAACTATGGGGTTAATTATGTTATTGTTGTTGTTTGACCCATAGTGACCCTGCACAGGGTTTCCGAGGCTGTAAATCTTTATGGGAGCAGAAAGCCTCATCTTTCTCCCACAGAACAGCTGGTAGTTTAGAACTGCGGTCCTTGAGGTTAGCAGCCCGATTTGTAACCAATACATTACCAGAGAGTGATGATTATTTTAAAATTTCTAAACTGTTTCTGGGACGCTGCCCTTGTGAAATTCTTTAAAAAATCAGAAGGAAAATCAGGAAATATGGTAAAAAACAGTGATACCAGTAGAGGTCACCAGAGTACTATAAGGTATGTTCAGAACTGATAGTTTGTCACAGCAATGGCTTATAACAGCAGGCACATCACTGGAGTGCAAAGCTTACCTCCTTGATTCCAATAAAAAATTTCCCTTAATTTGGTCTCAGTATTTCTACCCAAAGACTTCTGAGGGTGTTCTCATGAAAGACATCATCAAATCAGGGGGAAAAAAAGTCTCCATTTTAGAAAAGGGTATTGTGATTATATAAATGATGAATTTTCAAGTTACAAACAAAACTAAGTTTTGAAGTTACTTTCATCTAAATCATCTAGTTTAAGATTCTCTGTTTCTCCATATGATGGGAACACTAAGTTATCAAAATTTAAATAAGGGTAGGTGATCTTGGCTTTTGTTCAAGTTGTTGTTATGTGCCATCGAGTAGGTTCCGACCCATAGCAACCCTGTATAGGGTTTCCGAGGGTGTAAATCTTTACGGGCGTAGAAAGCCTCATCTTTCTCCTGCGGAGCAGCTGGTAGTTTCGAACCGCTGACCTTAAGGTTCGCAGCCCGATTCGTAACCACTACGCTACCAGAGTTCCTTTAGCGCATTTCTGTTAGACTGGAGGCTCTATTGGAGGCACTGAGCAGGCACTGACCAGCTCAGTCACCTTTATAGTCTCAGCCCTAGAATAGAGCCTTGCATGCTGTAGGTGCTCTATAAATGTCTAATTATTATAGAAGATAATAATTACAGTACTACTGCATACTCAAAATGAAAAGAAACAGCTGTAAACATCCATCAATAATCAGAATATGGAATGTACAAAGTATGAATCTAGGAAAACTGGAAATTGTCAAAAAATGAAATGGAATGCAACATCAATATCTTAGGCATTAGGGTGCTGAACTGGACTGATATTGGCCATTTTGAATCTGAAAATCACATGGTTTACTATGCTGAAAATGACAAATTGAAGAGGAATGGTGTTGCATTCATCATCAAAAAGAACATATCAAAATCAGTCATGAGGTACAACGCTGTCTGTGATAGAACAATATTCATGCACCTACAGTTAAGACCAGTTAATATCACTATTATTCAAATTTACTCACCAACACTAAAGTCAGTGAGGATGAAATAGAGTAATTCTACCTACTTCTTCAATCTGAAATTGATCAAACATTCAATCAAGATGTACTGATCACTACTGGTGATTGGAATGAAAGGTTGGAAACAAAGAGGAAGGATCAGTAGTTGGAAAATATGGCCTTGGTGATAGAAATGTTGCCAGAGAATGCATGATAGAATTCTGCAAAACAATGATTTATTAATTTCAATACCTTCTTTAGACAGCACAAGAGACGATTATACACATGGACCTCACCATATAGAATACACAGAAATCAAACTGACTACATGGTGGAAAAGCGTCATATCATCAGCCAAAACAAGGTCAGGGGCAGATTATGGAACAAACCATCAATTGCTCATACATAAATTCAGACTGAAGCTGAAAAAATGAAAACAAGTCCAAAAGAACCAAAATATGACCTTAAATATATCTCACCTGACTTTAAAAGATCATATGAAGAACAGATTTGGATACATTAGACACTAAAGACCGAAGACCAAAAGAGTTGTGGAATGACATCAAGAACACCATACAGAAAGAAAGCAAAAAGTTATTAAGAAAGAAAAAAAAGATAAAAATGGATGTCAGAAGAAACACTGAAACTTATTCTCTAGCGTAGAGATGCTAAAGCAAATGGAAGAAATGAGGAGATACAAAAGCTGAACAGAAAATTTCAAAGGTCAGTTCGAGAAGACAAAGTCAAATATTACAATGAAATGTGCAAAGATCTGGAGTCAGAAAACCAAAAGGGAAGAACACGCTCAGCATTTCTCCAGTTGGGGAACTGAAGAAAAAAAATCAAGCCTTGACTTTCGTTATTGATGGATTCTCTGGGCAAATTATTGAACGATGCAAAAACTATCAAAAGAAGATGGAAGGAATATGCAGGCATATGATCAAGAGCCAATGATACTGAAGAAAGAAGTCCAAGGTGCATTGAAGGAATTAGCAAAAAAAACAAGGGCCCAGGAAATGATGGAATGAAAATTGAAATCTTTCAAGAAAGTCAGGCTGCACTGGAGGCACTCACTCAGCTATGCCAAGAAATTTGCAAGATAACTATCCGGCCAACTGACTGGAAGAGCTCCATATATGTGCCCATTCCAAAGAGAGGTGACCCAATGGAATGTGGAAATCATTGGACAATATCTTTGATATCCCATGCGAATAAAGTTTTACTAAAGGTAATACAAACACAGCTGCAAGCATTATACACTGACAGAGAACTTCCAAAGGTTCAAGCTGGATTCAGAAGGAGCAGTGGAATGAGGACTATCATTGCTGATGTCCACTGGATCTTGGCTGAAAGCAGTGAATAGCAGAAAGATGTTTACCTGTGCTTTACTGACTACACAAACACTTTCAATTGTATGGATCATGACAAGCTACGGACAACACTGCGAAGTATGAGTATTCCAGAACACTTAATGTGCTCATGAAAAATCGGTACACTGAAAGGTTTGAAATTAAGAAAGGTGTGCAGCAGGGTTGCATTCTTTTACCATAATTATTCAACGTGTATGATGAACAAATAATCTGAGAAGTTGGGAAATATGAAGAAAAACGTGGCATTAGGATTGGAGGAAGACTCATTAACAACCTGCGATATACAAATGATAAAACCTTGCTTGCTGAAAATGAAGAGAACTTAAAATACTGATGAAGATCAAAGACCACAGCCTTCGATATGGATTTCATTTCAATGTAAAGAAAATAAAAATCCTCACCACTTGACCAGTAAACAACATTCTTATCAATGGAGAAAAGACTGAAGTTGCCAAGAACTTCATTCTTCTTGGATCAACCACCAACACACATGGAAGCAGCAGTCAAGAAATCAAACAACATATTGCATTAGGCAAATCTGCTGCACAAGACCTTTTTAAAGTGTTAAAGAGCAAAGCTGTCAGCTTGAGGACTAGGGTGGGCCTGACCCAAGCCATGGTATTTTCAATAACCTCATATGCATGTGAAAGCTGGACAGTGAATAAGGAAGACCGCAGAGGAATTGAGATGCATTTGAGTTATGGTGTTGGAGGAGAATATTAAAAAGTGCCATGGCCTGCCAAAAGAACCAACAGATCTGTGTTGGAAGATGTATAGCCAGAATGCTCCTTAGAGGTCAGGATGGCCTCACTTCATCTCTCATTTGGACATGTTGTCAGGAGGGACCAGTCACTGGAGAAGGATATCATGTTTGGTAAGGTGGAGGGTCAGATAAAAAAAAGGAAGACTCCCCAGAGAGATGGATTGGCAACGTGGCAGTTTCAATGGGCTCAAGCGTGGCAACAGTTGTGAGGTTGGCCCAGGATTGGGCAGAGTTTCGTTCTGTTTTGCATAGTGTGGCTATGAGTCGGTACCAACTCGATGGCACCTAACAATAACAACTGCATACTATAAAAAATTATGGAAAAATAGAAAGATGCTTTAATGCACCTAATTTCCTACCATTATTATTGTATGTACCATCAAGTTGGTTTTGACTCACAGAGACCCTGTATAGTTTCTGAGGAGCAGCTGGTGAGCTTGAACCACCAACCTTGAGGTTCAAACCGACCAGTGCATTAACTCACAGTGTCACATTAAAGGGCATATTTTACACATTAAATACAATTTTTATGTTAATAAGATATTAAAGATCAAACAATAATGCTTACCCCTCCATGTTTCAATTTTATGTTCCTCTAATTCATAAATCTGTACCTGCAAATAAGGAAAATTCTTATTTATAAATGTTAACATACATAGTATGAGAAAAAAGGAAATTGTTATTTCGGACTATTCAGCATATGAGACCAATCCAAATAGTAATTTAGAAATACTGGAACATAAGTAAGAAGCACATAAAATACTCTGTGTAGATGTTTTAAAACTTAAAAACATAATATATCAGTATCATACTATCTTTAAGTTTGAAAATTTCATGGACAGTTAAGTTTTAAAACACATATACACAAACATTCAGTCCTCCTTTTTTGATACAGAAGATTTCTAGCATCATTTTTAAAATGGCAGTTGGTTAAGTATTATGTTAATATTGGGTCCAAAGATCAGTTTATGATGGGTTATGTCACCAAGTGGCTACCAAGACAGTACAACGTCCCTAAGGTGAAGCAGCCCAGGTGATGCAAAAGTAACTGCGATCCTCAGACTTGCTCCCAATCTCATCTCTAGCTTCCCTTCTAAGGATCTTTTCCTCTATTGTATGATTTAAAAAAGCAACACTCTGTAAGTGAGCTTCCATGAGGATTTTCAGAAAGCAGAAATTCAATGAACTTTAATACTTTACAGATCCTCCTAAACGTCCCTGCTCTGCATTTTCACACAGTTCATATGCTCTGGGCATGATACGGGCTTTATGGGGACATCTGAAGTGAGAAAACGTGGTCTCTTCTTGAACCTTCAAATCCATATGGTTGGCAACCTTAAGATAGCTGTATATACAACTGCCAATGAAGAGTTGAAAGATACATTGTACGGTCATAGTCTAAAAGATTAGTGCTCAAGGACTTTGTTTCTCTAATGCACACCTGACTGAAAGCCTACAAAGAAGAAAAACTTAAGAGCATGAACGAAATGAAAGACTTTCTCATGTTAATTAAAATAAGACTAATAAAAAGCCAGTTGTTGTAGAGTTGGTTTTGACATGTTGTTGTTGTTGTTAAGTGCCATCGAGTCGGTTCCGACCCATAGCGACCCTATACAGGGCTTCCGAGGGTGTAAATCTTTACGGGAGTAGAAAGCCTGGTTTTGACATGAGGAGATCTTAATGTGTGTCAGAGTAGAATGTTATGGAAGTAGATTGCCATCTTTGAGTACATTCAAATCTCCGACCTTTCAATTAGTAGTTGAGAGACTCTGTGAAAATACTAATCAATCCTCAAAAAAGCTACTTGAATGAGTAAGTTTTGAAGGACAAATGGTCAATATAAATATATATATATAAATCAACTTGTTTTTATATTCTAATGATGAATACTTGGAAAATAAAAACTTAGCTTTTCCAATAGCAGTTTTTCTGTCCATAATTAGAAAAGGAGTTCATAATTGGAAAATGAAGAAAAAGGTATTTCCTCAAGTATTAAAACCTTTGGACTTTGGATTTAATTACCTACTACTGAGGTCTTTAGAACTGCAAGGCCGGTAGTTCAAGCTCAACAGCCGCTCCTCGGAAACCTTATACAGGGTTACTATGGGTCGGAACCGACTCGATGGCACTTCACAACAACTGAGGTCTTTTATATGGAGTTTAATATATTCTATTAAAATCTACCCATTTAATAATCATAACTGCCTTGGTTTCACTAGTCCTAAAGCAGAGATATGACCATTATAAGGAGAACTAGTTATCTGCTTACACTGGTACTATTTTATAAATCAGGCATGTTACTTAAAAGTCAACACAAATACTTCAAGAATTTTTGGTAAAAATTCCTTCGAAGAGTATGTCTTACAAAGAAACTTATTTTTCCATTTTATGTAGAAATTTACTGAATTCTTGGGCATTACTGAGCATTGGAGTCTCGGTGGCCCTGCAGGATAATGCACCGGGCAGCAAGGTCAGTCTGAACTGAAAGTTCGCCAGTTCAGACCCACCAGCCACTCCTCAGAAACCCTACATATGAGATGCAACCAACTTGATGACACTTAACAACAACACTGACCATTACACATAAAAATAATATTAATTGGGTCAACTTTTACCTTTCAGATACCCAAAATACTAATAGTGAAAGGTATCAACTATATTGATTTCCCGGTCCTCTTCTCCCCCTCTGAATAAAACAAGTATTAAAAGACAGAAGTAGTTTCAAACTATGCTCTTATAGAACAACAATGTTCTTCTTAGTAGGACAGGGAATTCTGCCACTAAAATTAGCCAGCAAGAACTGGCAGGAAAACATAAAAAATTAAATTTTTTCCAATTTCAAGTGCTCTTTTTTTCCTTCTTTTAAACCCCAAAATACATAGTTCATGCTATATAACTGTTAGGGTAATGGCATTAAACTATATTTACATCACAGGCTTGTAAGAACAATCCTGTGGCAGTCTCATCTCAAGAATGAAGTCAATCATTACACGGAGTGAAATCAGTCAGGCACAAAAGGGCAAATGAGACTATTACTGTAAAAGCTTAAGCAAAAGTTTGCATACTAAAAGAAACATTCTTTGAAAGTTACCAGGAGTGGGAGGGGGAGGAAAGTAGTTCATTGGCTAGGAGTCCTGGTGTGGTATTGTGGAGTTAAAGCACTGCACCATAAGGTACACAGTTCAAACTCACCAGCTACTCCTTGGAAACCCTAAACAGGGTCACTGTAAGTTAGAACCAACTCAATAGCACTTAACAACAGAGAATAGACACACGTCAGCTGGGGTGATGGGGAGGGCAATGCACAAGGAAGGGGAGGGCAAGAAGAGGGAGGATGGCAGAAGAATCAGACACAAAGAGGTATGATGGGTTAATGAAGATAGAGGTAAATAGTGATATATACACAACTTTATGAGTTGGGCTGCTAATCTCACGGTTAACAGTTGGAAACTATGAGCTGTTTCTTGGGAGAAAGATGAGGCTTTCTGCTCCCATAAAGATTTACAGCCTCGGAAACTATGTACAGGGTTGCTGTGAGTCGAAACCGACTCTATGGCACAGAACAATAACACAACCTTGGAGTCCTAGTGTGGTGCTGTGAGTTAATGCACTGGACTGCAAAGTTGCCGTGAACTTCAATGTCAGCAGTTCAAACTCACCAGCTGCTCTTTAGAAACCCTATATGGGTTGGAATCAACCCCATAGGGCACTTAACAACACCATCACCACAACCTTGGAATAACAGTGTTCTGAGCGTAGATACATGGATTGAGACATACAATGATGGGGATAGGAAGAGTGGGATGTGTGTGTGTGTGTGTGTGTGTGTGTATATATATTTATATATCCCACAAATACAGAAGAGTTTGAAAGAAGATATGTGTACATGAGTATTTACCTTTCATGCAAACAAAACTATGAATGTGGTGGGGCATACAGCTGACAAAATGATGAAAACTTCCTAGATGCTATCAACCATCTTAAGGCAATGAGTTGATGGGCTTGGAGGCTCAGGACCATAGTCTCAGGGGACCCCATGGTCAACTGCCATAATGGTTCACAAAGCCAATGTTTGGTACCATCCTGCTTGGAGGAGGGGGAAGCATCTGGGATCTTGAAAATTCATGAGTGGCTGTCTAAGGTGCAGCTATTGGTTTTTCAAGAAAGAAGAGTGATAAGAACTGCAGAGGCTTGGAATCAGTTAGTCCAACGGACTAATGTAATGGACCAAGTGAACATCAGTCTCCACAACTCTGAGACCAGAAAAACTAGATGGTGCCTGGCTACTGTGATCAACTGCCCTGAAAGGGATCACATTGCTGTTGTGAAGTGCTGTCAAGTCAGTTCCAACTCACAGCGACCCTGTACACGGTTTCCAAGGAGCAGCTGGGTTAGAACTGCCAACCTTGTGGTTCACAATCCAGTATTGATTTTACAGCACCACACTAGTGGTTCCCAAATAGAGTGGGAGAAAATGTTGACCAAACTCAAAATGATTTAATAATAATAATGACAATCAAACTGGGCTTACTGGTCAGAAGGAGACTGCAGGAACCTGAGACTATGGCCCTTGACCACTCTTCAGGTCTAGAAAGGAACTCAGTCTCATGGCCCAATTTTCAGTCAAGCAGTACATAGGTTTATAGTGTGGACAGCAACACTAGCAAGGTATACTCACCATGGAATGGTCAATCATTCAAAATCAAAAGGGCAACACTTTCCTAAGGACAAAGCTGAGAAGGGATAGAAAGGTGGTGGAATGCAAACAGGAAGCACAGGGAGGAAGCAGGGTAACTGTTGTTGGAGGGAGGGATCATAAACATGAAGATGAAAAGAAGTGTATGATTTACTGAATGTAATGCTGATGACTCTGTCTGTAAACCTTCGCTCAATTCACAATATTGCTGTCAAGTGTCATCGAGTCTTTTCTGACTCACAGCAACCCTGTATAGGGTTTCCTAAGAGCAGCTGGTGGGTTTGAACTGCCAATCTTGTGGTTTACAATCCAGCACCACAACTGAAATCTCCATTGACAATAAAAAATTTAAAAAGTAAAAAGAATGAGGTCAGTTACTGAGGTCAGTCACTTGGAGAGGTGCTTGCTAGGAGGGAGGATCCCATTCACTCACAGGTCAGAGGCAAACCCTGCAACACTAGAGCATTCTCATCAGACCCTTACAGATCAGTTATTATAAATGTAGTGAAACTTATACAACATCTAGGAAGGAAACAAGCATATAGATGTTCACTAACCCAAGGAACTCCTTTTATCTTTCTCGGGAATATCTTCTCCAAGCTTCAAATGTACAAATGATTTTGGTCAAAGCTAGCTATTTACCAGGATTAGTTTTATACTAAAGTTCCCTGCATATTATACATATATGAAAAAAAATCAACCACTACTGTTAACTTCTGTACCAAAAAATAAAGGAAAACTTCCACAGGAATCCTAAAATAGCCACACCCTTTACAGAGACACACACACACATACAGCTCCAATGACTGACGGAGGGACTGTTGGCACTTACCATGGGTGATTTGTAGTATCTATGGAGTATGTTTATGAAATCTGTAATTGTTAGCATTCCTAGAACAAAGAATTATTATTAAGAGTAAAACTAAGAAAATTTGGAAGGGTAAATCTCAAATGACAAGAGAACCTGGAATATTTACCAGAAAAGCTTTTAAAATATAAACTTTAAAGAAAGTATACAATTTAGTAAGTGATTTAAAACTTTCAATCTGTTAATTATTTATATCAAACTTGGTATAAAAATTGAGCTGAAATTAAGTATAATAAAAAGTACAATGGAATTAATCACAGTATAGGGGAAAATCTATGAGAGAAAACTTACTGATATAAAATATCTCCACAAGCTTGCACTTACAGGTACATGATTTAAAACACTTTGAAGTTTTCACTAAGCTTGAGAAACATGATATTCTTTAATTGGATGGTTTCCTGGGAAACATTCCACAAACAATGGTTTTACGTGATTTTAACAGTTACCATTTATAGAATGCATACCACTTGCTAGTTATGAGGACCACAGAAAGAAAAAGAGAAATGAACCTTTTCCCTGAGGAAATTATAACTTTAAATTAGATTATTTCAAAATAATGTGATGTGTACTAAGAGGTACAAACATCCATCGTCTGCTATAATTTACAAGATGAAAAATTATGAAGTTTAAATAGTTTTAAGTTAAACAATATTCTAAATTGTGAGACAATGATTTAATAGTACACAGAAGAGAACCATTAACTTGCCCTATCCAAAGGGTGTATGTCAGAGAGAGAAGCAAGGATGTACCACAGATGAGAGGCAACATTCTGGGCCATCTTTGATCACACTGTAAATTCTGTTTACTAAGCTCACAGGAACAAGCAAAGACATAAAGAAAAAAGTTGCGAAATTAAAAGAATTTCAAAGTTCACAAATGTCTTGAATTTATTAGCAGCTTCATTTTACCCTGTAATCAAAGTAAGGGTATTCTTTAATGTTGATGCATTTCAATTACAAATCAGCACCTATTAGATCCATGGGCCTTCTGCTTTTACGATTTCCCAGTTTAGATTTTTTTCCCTTAGGGTCACACTGCTTACCTACAAAACTTTGTTTTTTGCTTTCCCACAGTGGCGCTGCTCGAACACCGTTGGCTACCAAGGCAAAGAAGGCCTTTTTAACCTAAAGAAAAAGTAAAAGAGATAGAATATACTTTTAAAAGTAGACATATGAGGAAGAAAAATACCTTCAACTAAAAATATTTAATCTATTATTATTAACTATCTTTAAATTTTTTAAGTGTGAGAAAATACAAGCAATTGAGTACATTAACATTAGCAAAAATCCTTTTGTATAATACAGGCATATTAGGAATTAGAGATTATTTCTCAAAACTGACACAATGTGATTATGTAACTTTGTTTTTAATGTTATCAGTAATGAAACAAGCATGTATCTCTTCTCCTCTTCCTGAGGTTGTTGAGAAAGAAGAGTTATGAAAGGCAACATACTTGCATTTTTGTGTCTTCTAAAGACAAAGATTCACTGTGTACCTGTTATGTGTTATGTGTCACACCCCATTCAGAGCTTGCGGACACATGACAACTCATCTGACACCTGTAACAAATGTTCCTTGGGTTACCACACCAGCTGAAGGCTGTGCCACATATGATGAATTACAATACCCAAAAGCTCAGTACTGATAGCAAAGAATCATATGGAAAATTATCCAACCTTAATTACCAAAAAAATGTAAATTAAAACCAATTTAAAGTGTCATGTATACCTGCAAAATTAGCCAATATTTTAAGGTTCTAATAACCCCTAAAATGGTTAGAAAACCATTGGTATCAACATTAACTGATAAAATATTTTTTAAGAAAATGAAAGTATCAAGAACCATTCAAATGTTTTTACTGTTTGTACAACAGCTTATTTATTTCCTATAGAATTATTTACTCACATAATTTTTTTACATAAGGAATTTCTGAATCAGAAATATTTAATGTGTTCTTAATACTGAGAACTCTGGTAATGCAGTGGTTACGAATCGGGCTGCGAACCTTAAGGTCAGCAGTTCAAAACTCCTAGCTGTTCTGTGGGAGAAAGATGAGGCTTTCTGCTCCTGTAAAGATTTACAGCCTCGAAAACCCTGTACAGGGTTGCTATGAGTCGGAACCGACTCCATGGCACATAACAACAACAATACTGAGAACTAGAAAAATATCTATCACCAATAAAAGAAAATTTGTTAAATACTGGCATACCAATTAGACAAAATATCAAGTAGCAGTTAAGGTAGTATAATTATGAAGATTATACTTTAGTTAAAAAAAAAAAAAGTTCACAGCAGTGAAAAATGGAGACAAAGTTATACATTATGACAATTTTAAAACACGTTTGCTAAAATAGAAAAGACCAAAGGAAAATAAGCAAAAAAACAAAACAAAAAACTTGCTATATGAAGGAGTTGGGACCATAAAAAGTATAATTCCTTAGGGGGCACACACATCTCTAGTGTGATAGTGGGTTAAATGCTGGGCTATGATCACAAAGTTGGCAGTACAAACACACCAGACTCTTCTCTGTGAGAGAAAGAGGGGCTGTCTGCTCCTGTAAAAGATTGACAGTCTCAGAAACTCTTAGGAGCAGTTCTACTCTGTCCTAAAGGGTCTCTAGGAGTTGGCATTGACTCAAGGGTGGGGGTGGGTACTGCAGTAAGGAGTCTGGTGGCACAATAGGTTAAACACTGGTCCACTAACTGCAAAATCAGGGGTTCAAAGCCATCAGTCACTCTGCTCCTGTAATAAAGATTTCGTCTCAGAAGCCCTTTGGAACAGCTCTGTTCTGCTGGACAGGTCACTATGAGTTGGAATTGACTCGATGGCAGTGTGTGCAAAAGGTGTAAATACATTAGATGAAAATGGATTCAACATTCTAATTAAATTATAGTCTAGGCATTTATGACTTAATCACAATTGGTCTTTAATCTACAAATTAAACAAATGTACCCAACTCCTGAAGGCCTGAGATCCAATCAAGGAGATTCTTTTTAGAATACGGTCTCTGAGATGATTGGAGTGAAATATAAATGAGATTGTGTGAACAATCTCATTGTGTCAACATACAATGTTGGTCCTTTAGCGGGTACATTTCTAGAAGCTTTGAAAAAGAATAGTATGGATCAGGGGGTTGGCTTAGCTTTAAGGTGGCTGAGCAGTATAGAGTTCTATAAACAAAAGGGCCTGGCCAGAAGGAATCCAAAACCAAATACCCACTGCCCTTGAGTCAGTTCTGACTCATAGCAATTCTATGTAAGTAGAAGATTAGAAGGTACAATAATTTAAAAATCCAAGAAAAAAGATAATAGGTATCACCTTGAGTAGCTAAAATTTTGATAATCTTTTTACCTTGTATGAAATGGTACATTTTGATGCAGAAGAATTTAATAAACCTTTTTACACTGAGTCTCATTAAGTCTTAAGCTTAATCACACCAAGATTTTTGATGTCAAACAAGAGCAGGAGTTTGATACTCAAAATGAGGACTATCCTGTCAGAAACTGGAGGGTGGCTGGTGGTGACAAAGAAAAAACCTGCTTCCCCATAATAACTTCTCAGTTAATCTGCTCACTAAAAGCTCTGTAACAGCACCAGAAATATGCTGCAAGGCCACTCAGTGAATCCCAAAGTTATTAAATAAAGCAAGAAGGTCGAGACTAGGAAGCACTGAACCTTTTCCAGTCGAATGCCCAAGGTGACAAACACATTGGTAGAATAACGGAATTAAAAGACAATGGAATTTTTTCCACAAACTTTTTGAAGTACCCTTACATATGCTAATAATATATTAAAAAAATATATTATTAGCAAAATACATATATGGGCAAAATACTGCATGATGCTAAAAGCACTGAAAGATGTCACTACAGAGTCACTACAAAAGAAATTGTTGCTATCCAACCATTTCAAGGGGTAGCATAGGATCAAGAACCGATGATACTGAAAGAAGAAGTCCAAGATGCACTGAAGGCATTGGTGAAAAACAAGGCTCCAGGAATGGGCAGAATACCAGTTGAAAGTTTCAAAAACTGATGGAGTGCTGGAAGCACTCACTAGTTTGTGCCAAGAAATTTGGATGACAGTTACCTGGCCAATAAGATTCATATTTGTGCTCACTTCAAAGAAAGGATGTGGAAATGATCAAACATCTTTACTATCACATGCAAGTAAAATTTTGATAAAGAAATTTAAAAATGGTTGCAGCAGTACATCAACAGGGAGCTATCAGAAATTCAAGCTGAATTCAGAAGAGGATGTGGAACAAGGGGATAGTGGGTGGTTTAAAGTCAGGAAGGGTGCATCAGGGTTGTATCCTTTCACCATACTGAATCTGAGAAGCTGAACCACATGAAGAAAATGTGGCATCAAGGTTGGAGGAAGGCTCATTAACAATCTGCAAAATGCAGATGACACAAACCTTGCCTGCTTAAATTGAAGAGAACTTGAAGCACTTACTGATGAAGCTCCAAGACAGCCTTCAGTATGGATTATAAGTCATCCTCACTAAACCAAAACACAATATGAATAAACAGAAAATACTGAAGTTGTCAAGGATTTCATTTTATTTGTTGCTATTAGGCGGCAATGAATTGGTTCTGACACTTAGCGATACTATACAGCAAGGGTGGGGAACCACAAGGGCCATGTGGCTATTTATAACATAATTTCACAAGTCATACAAAATTATCAACTTAAAAATTAATCTGCTATATTTGGTCATTTAACTAACTCACCCCTACTGTGATGACTGGAACTATGGTTGCCTTGGTAGGGTCAGACCAAATGATTTCATGGCCCTCCAGTGCCACACCAGGACTCCTCATTTTACTTGGATCTACAATGAATGTTCACAGAAGCAGCAGTAGAGAAATCGAAAGCCACAGTGCATTGGGTAAGTCTACTGCAGAAGCCCACGTTAGAGTGTTAAAGAAGTAAAGATGTCACTTTGAGGCCTAAGGTGTGCCTGACACAAGCTATGGTTATTTTCAGTTTCCTCATATGCATGTGAAAGAGGTGGACAGTGAGTAAGTTAGGCTGGAGAAGAGGTGATGCGTTTGAATTACGGTTTTGGTGAAGAATACAGATTAGACCAGACTGCCTGAAGAACAAACAAATCTGTCTAGGAAGAAGTACAGCTCAAATGTTCTTGAGACGTGAGGTTGGTGACACGTGTCTCACATACTTTGGACATATCAGGAGGAACCAGTCTCTGGAGAAGGACATCACGTTTAATAAAGTAACAGGTCAGTAAAGAGAAGACCTACAATGTGATGGAAAGATATGACTCTAGCAATCAGCTTAAGCATTTTGATTGTGAGGATGATACAGGATTAGACAGTGTTTCATTCTGTTGTACATGGGGTCACTTCAAATCGGAACAGAACCTAACAACAACAACATGGTGTCCTGGGTAGGTGCTGTAGTGATAAGCACTGGATTGTTAACCACAAGGTTAGTGATTCAAATCTAGCATCCACTCCTCAGAAACCCTGTAAGTCTGAATCGACTCAAAGGCTCTTAACAACAAGAGTTGACACTAAGTAGGTCAATGGCAAGATACCTATAGTAAGAACAAAGAACAGCAAAGCAGCAGTTCATTGGCAAAGAGAATGTAAGAATTAAATGAGAAAGGTGTTATCACTTGTGCCACAGAAGATAAAGGAACAAAGCACAGAGGGGAGCACTTTGAGTGAAATCAGGTGACACCCACCTTCTTTTCAATGGGTTAAGTTACTAGACTTGCTGCAACTCTTACCTTCCCACATCAAACGTGTATACAACCATCCCACGTCTTCATTTCTCAAATGGAAACAAACATTCTACTTTGTTTTTCTGATATCATCAAGTATAAAACCTTTACTAATAATGAACAAGATCCTGAGACACTTGCTAGGTATATGATGTTGGCTAAGTTTTTTTGTTCTTAATTGTAGTTTTTCTTTTTTAAGGTTTTATTGTGAATTGAGTGATAGTTTACATGGGAGAATATCAGTTTTACACTCATCCTATCGTATTTCGTTTCACTGCAATGATTACAATCCCTCTATGTATCATCATTCCACAGTATTTGCTTCTATTCCCAGTTTGTGTATTTTTGGCTGCACTCCAAAACACTCAGGA